GAATTCCTCTTACATTCAAAAAGCTCTTCCATATTCATGTGATCTGTCACCTCAAAGTTTTTTTTTTTCTTCCTTCTTTCTCTCTTCCTCTTTCTCCTTTCCTCTCTCTTTCTCTCTCCTTTCCTCTCTCTCTCTCTCTTTCCTCTCTCTCTCTCTTCGCCTCTCTCTCTCTTTCTCCATGACGGTCTCTGAGAGCAGTCCTGGGTCACACCCTTTGCTACCAATCATGGAGGCGTGTTGACTAGCCACACCCCAGTAGTCGTGACCTTTGACCCGCTCCTGACCTCATTCATCTCTACATCCAGCATCGCGCCCCGACCGGATGCTTCCCCTTTGAGGGTCACTCCACTCTACTTCGAGTCGCGTCTCCGCTCGGACATGGCCTCCTCCTGGGGTCACCTACGCCCCTGCCGGGCTACCCCTCTGCCCGGGACTTCCCTGCACCAGCACGAGACACAACCATCGTCCACGCTACCACCACCAAGTCGGGAACTTCTGCACCTTGCACTCTCTCTCTCTCTCTCTCTCTCTCTCTCTCTCTCTCTCTCTCTCTCTCTCTCTCTCTCTCTCTCGCTCTCTCTCTCAAACTACTACCCATCGTTTACCCAGCGAGCAGATGGAGTTCGGCGACGCTGTGATAGTGATCTGAACGTTTGTCTTTGGGCGCCGCGGGGCCAGCGGGGCCCATGCCAGGCTGGCGACGGTGGGCAGACAGGCGCCGACCTCACGGTGCCAGAGCTGCGATCACCTCGCCGGCCGCGGTGGAATACAGATCAAAACCTGAAGTGCAGTATCAGACGGTTAGGAATTATGTGGGTTATTGTTGTTTGTTGTAAATGTTTTTTTGTATATGTATATATATTTATATATAGTGTGTATGTTTATACATTCATTATATATATATATATATATATATATATATATATTTACATATGTATATATTTGTGTGTTCGTGTACATGTATGGGTGTGTTTATTCACATAACTATTTTTTAAAATACATCTGAAATACGGAAAAAGACTTACATTGACAGAAGGCGACGCATAGTAAGGAAGTTCCAGCTGGACAGAGAAGGATCCCCTGACAAATCCGTCTTCAAGATCCGCCATGGGTTCCAGGAGCGCGTCTTCATCCAGAGGCAAGTCCGAAGCCACCAGGTCTTGGACGAAGGAATCAACAAGTATCACCTGGCTCCTTGATATCACCTGGAAAGATTGATTGGTCTGCGATGTTCTCCATTTTATTCGATATTCTCCAATTTATTCGTATACGATATTCAACAAGGCGCTGGCTTCGTTCAAGATCAGAAGGGGCAAGGCTGTCCATGTTGCTTTTTCCCACGAATTTCATTAAATATGCCAACATAGTTAATTGTTATTTATTTGACCTACCCGCATACTCTGCATCGAGTTAATTACTAATACGCTCTTTTCCATCATTTAATTCATACCCCCTACCATCACCATCCACAAATCCTTCAATTTACAAAAAAACTACACCGTGTCCAATATCAGAAGAAAAATAATAACTGACAACTCACCCCGGAGTCTGGATCACTCGGATTTGGTAAATCAACTTTTCATGCTAATTAGCTGATGGTTGGTGTTTCTATACATGTTTTGCTTTTGATTGCTCATAACACCATTTCATATTTGTTAATGTGTTTGCTACCTTCTTCATCACTTTATTACCTTTTCCCAAAAGAGATTTGGCAAATCGGAGTGCTCCCTGGGTGGAGTTGCCAGTTTGTCTCCTTCCTGCAACTGAGTGTAGATAAGAACCCTTACCTGCAGTCTCATCAGAGCCTGGTTGATGTTGTTGGCCACGAAGAGCACCGGCAGAGACAGGCTAATGTCCCCTCCAGGAGTGCAGTCGACAGCGTCCGTCGGGATGACAAGAGAGAGACTGGAGTTCGACTCAGAGTAGTAGACATCGAAGTAGAAGTAGCCCACCGACGGGTGAAGGTTGCCAAGGTGTCCTTGTTGATCGTCTTCGTTCGTGAGAGTTACCTGTTGGAGGAGTGCGAAAATGACGCCATTATTTGTCCTTTGTTCACGTCGTATCGTACTCGTCTTCAAGCTCATGACAGTCTATGCTATGAAAATATTTATCTAAATTTGCAAACGTTGTTTAGACGCAATGGAAAGTCATATATCGAAAATTATCGACATTCGATAATATGTCATACTGAATATGGCAATAATAATATAACCAATAAAAATGGTAATGTTGATGATAATGATAATAATAATGATAATGATAAGAATAGAAAATTATATAATAATAATAACGATAAAAATAATGATAATTATAATAATAACAGACAATAACGGTAAGAACCACAATCATAATATCAATAATAATAAGGAGAAAAAATGGCAATTGCAATAATGATAGTGACTATGCTATTATGAAAAAGTAATAACATCATGAAAAAGGCATAAAAGAATATCAATAATAATGTCAATGACATTCATTTCCAGTCAATAACGGACGCGTAGATCTACCGCCAACCATCCGGCTAACTAATCCCCAACGCTGGTGCTTCGACAGAGCTTACTCTTGCTCTCTACTATTCCTCGTCCTCCACCATTCTTCTCCACCTCTTCAGATATGCCTCTTTTTTTTACCAGTTCCTCTCCTACGAGCTGCCTTAGAAACCAACCCCCCCCCCCTCGCCTCCCTCCCGCGAGCACCGTAGAAACCGACCTTGAGTTTGCCGCGAGGTTTCACGAGGTGGGGAGGCACGATCACCGTGAAGACACCGTGCTCGTCAGTCACGAAGTCTTTACACGCGGTTTCGACACAGGCTGTTACCTCGACGTCTGGGGCTCCTGATTGGTCTGGGAACCTCGCCTGGATCTGTTGCAATGCCATGGTTGGTATTAGATAGTGATGATGGTGATAGCAGAAGGATAGGAAAATATTAATAATTATGATTAATAAAATATTATTTATGATGATTTCAATAATAATTTTAATAATAAACAGAAATAAAGATGATACTTGTAGTAGTACTGATGATAATAATAAAAATAGTGATAATGAAAATAATGACCATGGCAATTGGGAGACAAATGTATGTATCTACATCTAAGTAAATATATAATTATATAAATGTTTGTGTGTCTTTGAGTGGGTGTTTGTGTGTGTGTGGCCGTGTGCGTGTATGTGAGTGTGAAATTCCAGGAAATTATTACTATAAACAAGAAATTTTCGGTGGAAAATCTTATGAATAGGTTGATAATGTGGTTACTACTAATTCTATAAACCCACCACCAATTAACATAATTATGAGCTTTCATGGGAGATGGATCACAAAATGTTCCCTGATTTTATACTTCCATTCTTGTATTCTTAAGTTGTTGACACATTTTTGTTTAAACCAAAATTACAAATTCAGTAATTTCTGCACTATATAACTGTCAGCAAAAGAATATTGCATTTATTATGAGATCCAAGAAACCTACGTAGACAGAAATTTGAATCTTTCCTTCCTATGAATTTTATTAAAACCTTTATCAAAAGGGCATACAAGATATCAAAATCTGATCTAATATTATCAAAGAAATTTACTCTGTTGCTGACGTCCTAAAAAGGATTGGCTTTCCCTTTTTATTCAGAGGTCCATCATACATACCTTAAATAACATCTTTGTAAACAGAGAACTAGAACAACTTGGGATCAAAGTAATATAAAAGTATAATTTACGTAAACACCCCATTCTATGTATGGGCTGTTTACGTATTAGAAGAAAACTGCTGAGCCTCGTGAACGAAGTATTTCAGCTGTAGATTTAAGTCCTTTTCATTTCCAGAAACACCATTGTCACTTCAAACTCAAGGACAAAATTCATAAGCTACCATGTTCATCTGTTGTCTCTCTCTTTCCCTCTCTTTCCTTCTCTCTCTATATATATGTGTGTGTATGTGTGTGTGTGCACGCACGCACGCGCACACACACACACACACACACGCGCGCGCGCGCGCGCATATTCATCTATCTATAATCATATTTATCTTTCTCTCTCTCTCTCTCTCTGTATATATATATATATATATTATATATATATATATATATATATATATATATATATATATATATATATATATATATATATATATATATATATATATATATATATATATATATATATCTTGGACATACACACGTACTTTATGAACGTACACACTCTCACGCGCAAATCACTTGCACAAATAGATACGTGTATACAAGAACAGCTCGTCCGAGTGCGAGCGCAACCGCCAGGGCCAACCTGCATCTCGAGGGGCAAGCCCGGCTTGGCATCCTTCCCTCGGCTAATCCACGCGAAGGACAGGCGTTGGGAGGCCAGCTTGAGGGTCGCGGCGCCTGAGGCCATGTGTCCGGTGCCTTCCTCGGTGATGTCAGCTGTCAGAGCAAGGCCGTGTACGTAATGGGACCCTGTGTCGATGAGGCTGGTGTCCACCTCGACGTCCGTGCACCCGCTGAAGGTCTGCGGGCGAAGGAGGAGCTCTCTGAAGGGGCGCTCGAGGGGGAGCGGGAAGGGCGGGAGAGCAAGGGCGAGGCGGGGGATAAACAGCCTAAATGCAAGGATACTGACTGAGCGTTAGATCACCTAAATCTTTTGATACTGACTGGTAGGGAGACAACCTATATATACTGTTAATGACAGATCAGTGGGTATATACATACTGAATTTGATAGCTAGCATAAATATCGAGACTGATAGATAGGGAGATAACATGGGCATTTTAATATCAATAGATCGATAGTTAAGTGTTCTATATCATTATATCGATGGATAACTGTATTGACAATAAGGCATGTCGACGACTTAAGGTGGATACTTAACCATATTAATACTTACATATACCAGGAAATAGGTATCCTAAGTCAAATGAATGTATAAACACAATTACAAATGCATATAGACAATCTCCGGTTCATTCTTAAGAGTTAGGAAAAGAGAAAAAAGGAAAGGATGAAGAAACAGAGGTGGATCATATATAATTCCTTAACAAACAGGTAAAATGATAGGCAAACATATGAAAAAGCAAGGAAACCAAATAATTTTCCAGACTCAGAGGGAAAAGCTACTCTTTCCGAATGCACAAAGGAATGGGAAGATAGTGTTTCAATAAAAAACAAAAATCCATGTAACCTATACTTTCTATACACCATTCACTCCACAGTTTAGAACCGGTTACCAAAGACTGAATTTGGTCAGTGTTGAGATTTCCGTTATAATCATTGCTATCGACATTATCAATACCAGAAGCAATACCAGCCTACGTACCGGGATAGGAATGACAAGAGCGTCATCCCTTTGGTCGCCTTCGTAATAATAGTACATAAGCGTCTTCACAAAGAGATTACCACTGCCTGTTACGGGTTGCCCATACGTGTAACTGTAGGAAAAGAAAGAAGATATATCCTGTAAAATTCGTAATAATAGTATCTGTTCTTCTCAGAGGGATTGCCACTGCCTATTGCAGGTTGCTTATACAAGTAACGGTGTTGAAGAACAAGGCAACAGATCCTGTGGTATAAAAATAGGATACGAAAAAGGCACTTGCATTCAATATACAAAAAAATACTTTCACAGTATATGAAAATGCACTTGCACACAGTACGTAAAGAACACTTTCATACAGTATATAAAAAACACTAGCGCACAATATATATATAAACTAGCAGTACTCGGAGAGCGCATACCTCCGCCAATGTAATATGGTCCATGATACAATAAAAATATTCATACTTGAGGAATTACTTTATAATGATCTCTTTCTCAAGTACACAGGTGACATCCGTAAACATATCTCCTTGGCGGAGGTAATAAAAGTAATGATAATAACAATAGTTACCCCTGTATTTAGGATTAACATGCAATCATTAAAAAAAATCCTGGATCTAGATCATCACCAAAATTCTAGTTAGGCTGACACACCTCTGGAAAGGATCTGTTCATAACTGTTTAAGCTGCATTTGCAATAAGGGTAATTCATGCACTCATCAAAAATTCTAAAGATCATGATCCGGATCCAGCCAAAGACACGCTTCTGGTAAATATATATATATATATATATATATATATATATATATATATATATATATATATATATATATATACCAACAAAAAACTAACAACGCTACCAAAAACATGACCCTTGGCGGAGTAAAAACACCTGGATACAGTGTATATAAAAAGCACTTACACACAGCATATGTTGACAAAAGAAACACGTTCACTGTATATAAGAAAGCACGTACAGTATATAAAAAAACACGTTCGCCGTATATAAAGAATAACACTTGCATACAGTATATAACAAATGAAATTGCTATGAGGTTCTCGTAACAATTTAACAGGAAAAGGAAACATTATGGAAAGAGACGAGTGGTGAAATGAACTGGAATTGACATACGTGTAAGAGTTTTGGGAAAATAGATATCCCTAGAATTTTATGCGGAATTCTGAATGTAACGTTATACTAATTTTACGCATGGACATTTTGGATCACGTCAGAATTATATATGAAATGAGCTTTTCGAAATAGTTGCATGCTTGGTGAGTCCTGTAACGAATAGTTATATCAGTAATTATAATAGATAAATAGATATAATAATTATAATGATTTGTATAATTGAAAATATAATGGATAATAATGGTGATGATAATAATGATAATATGGATAATAATGAGGATAATTAGAATAGTAATAAATGTTATTATCATTATTATCTTCAATACTGTTATCATTATCATTCTTATTATAATTATTATCGTCATTATTATCATTGTATTCAATATTTATTATCATTACTATTACAATTATTAGTAGTATCTTATCATTATTAGTAGGTGTATCTAGTCTTTATCATATCATTGTTACTTTATTATCATTATTATTATCAGTCTCATTGTTACTTTATCATCATTACTGTTATCATTATCGTTATCTTTTTCATGATATTATTATTATTGATATTATTATTTATTTCATAGCATTGTTATTATCATTTTACTATCATTATAATAATGATAATAATAAGAAGAATGGAAATCATAAATCATTAACAGTAATGATTATGATAATAAAGATAATAGTAATAATAATGACAGTAACAATATTACAAAATGTAATAGCAAATAATATTATCGAAAGTAATAACAATATGAAGAATGGAAATGAAAATCATTATAAAACTGATAGTAACTAAAATAACAGTGATAAAACTATTGGTAGCTGTAGTAGTTGTAGTACCAAAATTAGTAGTAGTAGTAGTAGTAGTAGTAGATAATAACAGTAATAGTAATAATAACAATAATTGCAGTAATAATAATGATCACAAAAAAGATAATAATCATAAGGAAAATAACAATAATACTAATAGCAATAACAACAACAACAATAATGTTGTTAATGAAATAACAATGCCAATAGCAACAACAACAGCCCAAGAACAACAATAACAACACTACCAAACTGCATAGCAATTGCCACTTACTCAGCACAGACTTCGACCGTCAGTCTGAGTGACAAGCGTGTAAGGTGGAAGGTTGAGAGTGACCTCGAATCTCGGTAGTACGTATGGCTCGACCTTGAAGTCCTGGGTTGTAACACGTCCTCCAGTTCTCACGTGGATTGTGTACGCTCCCTGGGGATGTATGAGTTTTTGTTGAAGTGATGTATTTTAGATGGAGTGAATTATTGAAATGATTTTGGGTTGATGGAACAATGAATGAAAACGTGTATGATTTTTTTTTTTTTTTTTTTTTTTTACTTTTTTTTTGATTTTAGATGGAGTGCATTATGGTATATATGATATATATATATATATATTATGATATATATATTATATTTTTTTTTTTTTTTTTTTTTTAATTTCTTTTTTTCTTTTTTTTTTTTTTTTTTTCTTTCTTTTTCTTTTCTTTTTTTTTTTTTTTTTTTCTTTCTTTTTTTTTTTTTTTTATGATGCCTTTTAGATGGAGTGAATTAAGAAATATTTTTTGGTTGATGGAACACTGAATGAAAACGTATGATTGGTGTTTTTTTGAAACAATGTATTTGTTGATGAAGCGAATTGTGAAATGATTTTTGGCTGATGAGACGGTGTGTGGAAAGTTGTATGAAAGGATGTATGGTATGCCTAATGAAAAGATACATAACTGCTGAAAACATGTTGACTAAAACGTTATATGACATGAAAAGATGCATGACTGATGCAAAATGTATGACATGAAGATTTTCATATAATCTGAATATAGACGGGTAAGTAAGTAAGTAAGCTTTGCACATTTTCATCACTGTGACCAAGATGTCTAGCTTCTCAAAGCGTCTGCTACCCATCACGCTCTGGGCTTCCGGTACTGGGATAAGCCGCGCCGGGTCCCTTGCACTGGCAAAGACCAGAGCCGGGCAGTCAGAACCGGGATGAACACAAAAAGGGAATTGTACACCGAGACTGGGTATCAAACCTATATAGGATCCTATGTATGACTGATGAAATGGTGTATCAAGAGATGAATGGTTGATGAAAATGTTTGCATGGCAAGATGTTTGAATGCTGATGAAAAGATACATTATTAGCAACATCCCCTCTGATAATCACTGGAGGCTCCGCCGCTCCATGCACGACTCGGAATGAGCAGAGCTGAACCGCCTGAACCCCGCGCCCCATAACACTGACCTCCTGCACGTGCTCGGCCAGCGGGAACTCGAGCTGCACGAGGCCGCGGCTGTTGCTGACGTTGAGCCACTGCACCAGCCGCGTCTCCGTCGGCGAGGTTACCCACACCTCGTCCAGGTCCTCGTAGGAGATGGCGGCCCTCTCGCCCTCGACGCTCAGCACGCGGAACTTCACCGACTGCCCCTCCTCGTACAGGTACTTGTCCGTCTGCACGAAAGTCCTGCCGACGGAGACGAGGCGAATCCTCAGCTCCTTAGACACGAGGACCTCGCCGATGCTCCCCTCGATGAGAAGGACGTCATAGGCGTCGCCGCCGTCAGGCACGGGGAAGTCCACACACACGTGATTGGCCGACACTGAAGTGAGAATAGAAAAGGTGAAATAATGTTGATGAGAAGAAGGCAATGGTGATAATGATAAGAGGTATAATGGTTGCGATAGCGGGGAATATTGTAACAGTGATGATAATGATAAGAAATTTGATGATATTGATATGGATATGGTAATAGCAGCATTAATGAGAAGTATGATGATAAGGTTAAAGCAATAACTGCAATGGAAAGAAACATGATAACGATGATAAAACTACAGTGATAGTAATGATAATAAGGATAAATTATGATACCAATAATGATAGAAAGACACCAAGTGTTGTGTCCCATACTTTCTTTTTTTGTAAAAATTATATGAAATGTTTTCATAGATATCTACTTGCCGCAGCCATGTATATATGAGAATTGAGCAACATTAGGTTAATTAGAAAAAAATAGAAGAAAGGTTGTTTGTTTCCATTCTATATTGTTTCATGTATTGAAATAAACACATCGGGATTTCTGGAGTATTATTGAAGGACGGAACCAAGACCATGCGTTATTTTTCTTTATAGGAAATCGATAGCTGTTTGTAGCTTTAATTTTAAGTCTATGCATATATTATAGAACATTTGTGTGCGTGTATCTCTGCCCATGTACCTGTGTGTGGGGAGGGAGGGGGAGGGGGGAGGTCTGTGTCCATGTGCTTGCTCTTGTGTGTATTTGTCTGTCTATATCCATGATCTACCTTGTGTGTGCGTGTGTGTGTGTGTTGTGTGTGTGTGTGTGTGTGTGTGTGTGTGTGTGTGTGTGTGTGTGTGTGTGTGTGTGTGTGTGTGTGTGTGTGCGTGTGTGTGTACTAGCGTTTTCGTGCAACCAGAGCAACGAACCTGTCTCAACAACCGTGACGTGAACCTCGTCCTTCTCGACCATCATCGTCAAGGTGAGGTTGACCGAGATAGGCGGGTCGTCCTCGAGGAAGACACACACGGTCGACTGGCCTCCCCGCACGAACACCTTGGGCACCGTGATCAGGTACGCGCTGGAAGGGAGAAGGGACCATCCGGGTAGTTATGGTGTGGCTTGGTTGCACACACACGCAGGCACTCATACATACAAACATATGCGGTTGGATGTAGGCGCAGATACAGGCACGCGCACACATAGACACAAACCGACACGCACGCACACACAGATACAAACCGACACGTACGCATATACATCCACAAACCGACACGCACGCACACAGACACAAACCGACGCGCACACAAATACACACACATACACACAGACACGTACGCGAACACAAACACAGCACTCAAGTACACATTCAAACCAGCATTGTTTCGTTATTCATTTATATTTCATTTAGTACGTATAATATGAAAAAGTTCTTGTTATTTATCCATTCTTTATGATGAAAATCTAAACAGGTTTGGTCACAAAAATAGAGGAAAAGATTGAATAGTGAAATGCCCTTAAAAGGAAAGCGCCAAGAGGAAACAAGCAGGAAAGCAAGACAAACAAGGAAAGAAACAAAACTGTAGTAAGGAAAGCAAAGACAAAAACAAAGACGAGAGAGGTAATAAGGAGAAAAAGGACAAAAGAACAAGAATAACGCCAGGCAAGAAAGGAAGAAGAGGAAGAGGAACAAAAACAAGATAAACCGGAAAGAAAGACACGAAAACAACAACAAAATAAAGAGAGAAATCAACACGACCAACAGAAAGAAAACGAGATGTTTATCATATTAAATAAATAAGATAGAATAATCACACCGAACAAGAGGAACCGGAAGGGTAAAGAGAACCTCAAGAAAGAACCAAGCAACAAGCACGACCTCCCCCCCCCTTTATCCCAACCAACACCCACCCTCAAGCACGACCCCTTCATCCCCAACTCCCCCTCCAACTCCCCCTCCCCCATACCCTCAACCACGACCCCCCCCCCCCTCATCCCCACCACTCACTCCCGAGCAATCCCATCCGACGGGACAGCACTCCCAGACGGAGGCGATCGGCCTGCAGGCGGGGCTGGGCGGCGACCTGCAAACCTCCGGCTCCTCGCACTCTATCACGGGGACCGGGTCGCCCTTGGTGCAGCGGCAGGTCTGGCAGAAGTCCTTCGTCTGCCACGACTCCCCGACGCCGTAGTAGCGACCGTCAACCTGGCAGGTCGTGCTGCGTGAAAGGGAAGGGAGACACGATGTAGGTATATATGTGTTTGTTTAAATATACATATATATATATATATATATATATATATATATATATATATATATATATATATATATACATATGTGTGTGTGTGTGTGTGTGTGTGTGTGTATGTATATATATATATATATATATATATATATATATATATATATATATATATATATATATATATATATATATATAATATATATATATATATATATATATTATATATATATATATAATATATATATATTATATATATATATATATATATATATATATATATATATATATATATATATATATATATATATATATATATATACATGTATATATATATAATATATATATATATATATATATATATATATATATATATATATATATATATATATATATATATATATATTATATATATTATATATATATATATAATATATATATATATATATATATATACATATATATATATATATATATATATATATATATATATATATATATATATATATATATATATATATATATATATGTATATAAATAAATATATATATACATATATTATATATATATATATATATATATATATATATATATATATACATATATATATATATATATATATATATATATATATATATATATATATATATATATATATATATATATATATATAATATATATATATATATATTATATATTTACATGTATATACATATATATATATATATGTATATATATATATATATGTATATATATATATATATATATATATATATATATATATATATATATATATATATATATATATGTCGAGATCATTATTTATTCGACATTTAAAAGGTGCTCTGTCTCTGATTTGTAAGATGTACGTTCGTCACTGAAACATTTGTTTACATAATCATATATCTGAAGGCATTTCAGTGCAGCAAAATTTATTTAACGATTTCTTGTCAGACGAGTCCTGTCCTTACTCCTGTAAACAGGTAAGCTGAGTGTTGGTTGTTAGTCACATTTTACCCTCATATAATAGATTTTACTTCTTGATATGTGTATTAACGTAATTGTTAAATCCATTTGTATTGAAATATGATAATTGAGACGAGTCCCGTCCTTACTCGTGTAAACAGAGAGGCGAAATGGAAAATGCGGCGAGAACAAGGCATTAGACAAGCACCATGGCGGTGCTTGTCTAATGCCTTGTTGCTAGGGGACAGATTTTGTTACTCATTTAGTTATTCTAGTGGTACGTGGATACTCTACGGGAGTAGTCGCAGGTGACAGTTCCGATGGTATCAGTGAATAGAATGAGAAGTATATTATTTATTAGAGGGAAGTGAAAGAGAGGAAAATGGTATAGATGAAAGGAAGGGAAATGATCGGCTCCTGTCCTAGGTAAAATCATGAAAAGAACACGGTTAGACTGTGTGAGGGCCTCGACTTCGTCTCACGTATATTTTTTATTATGTTTATTAAGATGTCATCGATTTCTAATTAATAGGAAAACGGAGGGTATCAAATGATCATGTGTATCACTAAGATTTACAGATTGATATGCCATTTGTTTATTGCTTGTTTACTGAATAAAATTAAGGGTTAAAAATGTTTCTATGACCGTTAAAATTTGACACACAACCAAGGAATGAATTCATTCCCACACCCACGAGCTTTAAAGACCGTTAGATTATGCTACCAATTGATATCAGGATACGGTTTCTATTTTCGGGGTACCTCCTTGTTTAAACCAAAACCTCTCATGAACCGTGTTTATGTTGACAAATGTCGAAAGGCATGAATGAGAACGAATATCTTCACAATACAACAGATGTATTTAACCGGTTTCGATTATTTCTTCGTCAAATACATATCTCTTGCATTGTGAAAATATTCGTTCTCATCCATACCTCTCCACATTCAAACCCTCTCCTTCCCTCTCACCTGTTACAGTGGTAAGCTGGGCAACATTCGCCTTCCCTCTCCACTTCTTCGCAATCCCTGTGTGGCGGCTGTATGCAGAGTAGTCTGTAGCACCGCACGTAGGCCCCGTCGATAGAGAAAAGACACGCGCATCTCTCGCATCCGTCGACCCAAGTGTCTCCGATCGGGTGCACGACGCCGGTCTCCAGAGTGCAGTTTCTGGAAGATTCGTTTTATCTAGTTGTTATCATCCTTATTGTTATATTGTTGATGTTGCAGTTGTTTTTTATTATGATTGATACTGTAATTGATTTTATTGTTGTTGATATTGCAATTGTTTTTATAATTGTTGATATTGCAATTGTTTTTATTATTGTTGATATTGCAATTGTTTTATTATTGTTGATATTGCAGTTATTATTATTGTTGATATTGCAATTGTTTTTATAATTGTTGATATTACAATTGTTTTTATTATTTTTGATATTGCAATTGTTTTATTATTGTTGATATTGCAATTGTTTTGATTATGGTTGACATTTCAATTGGTTTTATTATTATATTTTAATTTTTATTATCATAATGATAATGATTACCATTATTATTATCATTAAAAATATTGTTATTATAGATATCATAATCATCATTGCTATTATATTGTGAATATTTCAATAGTTTTTATCACTACCAATATCGATATTGTTATTATTATTATTACTATCATCGTTATTGCAATTTCTATTGTCATTGGTTTTATTATTATTATCATCATTATTATTGTTATGATCATCATTTTTATCATTGGTATTGTTATTACGTTATCATGATGATAACTATAATTACCATTATCAATTCTAATACTATTATCATGCTTATCATTATTATTATCATTATCAATATCAATATTTTTATTATTATTTATATGAACATCATTTTGTCAATACACTTATCATGAAAAATATCATCATCATCATAATTACCATATTATCATTATCGTTCTTATTATTGCTGGGACTTTATCGTTGTTATTATCTTAATTATATTTTTTTATTATTATTGATATGATCCTTTCATTAATACAATTGCCGTGGAAATTATATTTGATTTTATCAATATCGTTACTATAATAATTCTTACCATTATCATTTTTATTTTCATCATTATTATTGTTATTATCATTATCATTGTTGTTATCATCATTAGCATTACATTCATCATATTCATTATCACCATTATCGTAACTATCATCATTATCTTTATCATTAACATTACTGCTATGCTTGGATATGTTAGGAAGCTAAATAATGATAATAATAATAATAATGATAATGATAATAATAATAATGGTAATAATGATAATGATAATAATAACAATAAATGTATAAATAAATAAATGAATAAATAAAAACATTGAAGAAATATATCTCGGACTCACGTCGGCCTATCACCGCAGATCCACTGGGAGCAGCACGTACCAGGCACTTCGGTACAGTTCTCATCTTCATCTGGTACATTACAGATCCCTGGACAGAAGGCAGGTGAGTCTTCTTGCACACCGCCACTGTATGTGAGGAAAATCAGTGGTAAGTTTTATATGTTTCGGTTGTGGACAAACTTTCGTTATGTAAAAATAGGTAGATACATTATTCAGACAGATAGATAGTTAGGGAGATGAATAGATCAATAGATAAATATGTGTATGGATGTGTATGCATGTATATTTGAGAACTGTAGAGGGAGATTTACATACCTAATGCAGATAAACAGACGGATGGAAGGAAAAAGAGAGAAAGAGAGAGACAGACAGAGACCGAAACAGACCGACAGATAGAGAAAAGAACGAGAATTTCTTACGCTTTGATAGCCTTACAGTTTTGAAAAGAGAGTGTACCAATAACAAATGGGCTTCCTGAAACAATGTGATCAGCTTGACGGCTCAAAGATATGACTCCGCAATAGGAATTTCCTTGTACATCAAGGATAGATACTAATAGACAGAAGAATGAATATATAGATACAAATAGATGGATAGAGATATTTTCAGATAGATAAATAGATAAATATAAATTGATGGATAGATCCAGATAGGTAGATAGATAGACAGATAGATCGATCGGTAGACAGATAACTAGAAAAAGATAGAGAGTGAGAGATGAATGAATATACAAATACAGTATCCACACACAACACACACATACAAATGCACACTAACGTGCTTGTATAGAAAATTATCAATTAATGAAGGAAAAAAATAATAATAATCCATCAATCAACACATGTTTCCCAGGAATTCTAATTAAAAAATAACATCCAAACTTCCTCATTAAAAGACGTACACCATTTAAAGGAAAAACCTCAATGAATCTTACCTTCCCATGGGGTCGACAAAACCCCCATCGACGTCGGCCGCTTTAAAATGGAGGGGAAATTGGGTTTACAAAATGTTCAGTTGATGTTAGAATATCTGATATAAAATTGTTTGATGTGTAATGAAATAGCTTAATAAGCAGTCTATAGGATATATAATACAATATCCTCCACTGGAATATATTCTAGAGTGATATATCTAGTGTTAGATTAATTCATGTCCGCACGAGTATAAAAATGCGGAATTAGTTAAGGTTAAAGCGTGGAACAAATGCGTTTAAATTGGAACATGTTCATATTATTGCGAGCACAAGAGAGGGAAGAAAATCAGTGTCCAGACGGGAAATGCGGCAATCGAGATCTAAGAGAAAATGAGATGAAAAAAACATTAAAAACGAGCGTATTGCGTTATCAAGAAAATGAAAAGCATTGCAGCAGGTATATAGAGCAGGTGAATAATGATGGCAAACTGCTGGCGCTTCTGTAATAGATACAAACATGACGTAAACTGTATTTTCACCATTACTTATACACTAAGACAAAAACCCTCATTATGTAACACTGTCTCATTCCTGGATGCTGGGAGAGAATCAACATCAATTTGTGGTTTTATCATGCCATTTCATCGATCATTATCACTCGCATACCTGTAAAAGTCAATATGCGTGAGAATATGCTTTAAAAAAATCTCTTGATATTAGATATTAGAGCAATTTCCATACATCGCATTTACGACGTTTTAATCATATTGTCTAATATGATAAAAGACACATCTGTCTTCCATTATCAATTTTGATACAGCTGGAATTAGTATCACGCTGAATACTATTGCGTCCAAATATAGGAAAAGAAAAACAAACTATTTCAGTCAGCTGTCTTTTATATTTATACTTACATATGTTTGGTATTTGTACAATCCTGAAATTAATAAATGGATGAGCACAAACACACACTGAACAGATGTATGTATAAGTGTGTAAGTACGTGTGTATTTGTGTTGGCATTTAAGCAAACGTACACTCAAATATTCACATTGGTATGCCTATATAATGTGTGAATTTGGGCACCAGTGTGTATTTATCTATTCATTTATCTATCTAATTTTCATCAAGATGCCATTATTAAAACATGATCATGAACAAAAAATTATTACACCATCGTCACAGTTGTTGATAGTGTCACCGCCATCATCCCTGTCGATAGTGCACTGCCATCACAGTCACGTCATCATCGCAATTGTTGTCGTTTGCACTAAGGTCGTCTTGTTGGCCTGAAATGCATAAAAGACTTGGCATTGAGGTTGACATTCAAGTTGTATGAAGCGCAGTTGTGAACCCTGTATCATGACATACAGAGGATACTGTATTAGATAAGCCGAGATGGATAGTCAACTGTGAAGATAGAAAAGAAAAAGGAAAGAAATATACATACAAATATATGTATGCATACATGTATGTATATATGCATATATATGTATACATATATATATGTACATATATACATATATATAAATATACATACATTATATATATATATATATATATATATATATATATATATATATATATATATATATATATATATATATATATATATATATATATATATATATATATATATATATATGTATGTATGTATATATAAACACACACACATATAGATAGATAGACAGATACAGATATATATATGTATATATATATATATATATATATATATATATATATATATATATATATATATATACATATGTATGTACATGTATACAGATACAGACACAGATATATGTAGATGTATGCATATATAGATATAATATACACACACACACACACACACACACAAACATATATACATATATATATATATATATATATATATATATATTATATATATATAATATATATATATATATATATATGTGTGTGTGTGTGTGTGTGTGTGTGTGTGTGTGTGTGTGTGTGTTACATATATATACATATTATATTACATAATTATATATATATGTATATA